TCTCTCTCTCTCTCTCTCTGTGTGTGTGTGTGTGTGTGTGTGTACTGGGGATTAAACCCAGGGTGCTCACTTTATCACTGAACTATATTTCCAGCCCTTTTCATTTGGAGACAGGGCCTTGCTAAGTTCCTTAGGGCCCTGCTAGGTTGCTGAGGCTGGCCTCGAACTTGTGATCCTCCTGCCTCACCCTTTTGAGTTGCTGGGATTGCAGGCGTGCACTACTGAGCTCAGCAAAACAGACTGATTTCTGATCTTGGATTTGTGTCAATTTCTGTCCTTGCTGTTACTCACATGATAAACTTTGGCTCCCTGCTTCCTGAATTTATTCTGCCATTATGTTTGACCTTGTCTTTGTGACCTTGTTATGGCCACTGGTCTGTCTTGATATTGGCTCCTGTTTCCAAACATGCCTTCACTGAACCATGTGGGTTCATGGCTTTTTGCCATCACCAACTTCCTCAGATATTGGCTTTCTGACACCATCATTCTGAGTACAAGTCCATACATTTTCCTGGAATTGGCAATAACTTCTACCTTTCTTTTTTCTTTTTTGCACTGGGGATTGGACTAAGGGGCACTAAACCACTGAGCCACATCCCCAGCTCTTTTTATTTTGAGACAGAGTCTTACTAAATTACTTAGGGCTTCGCTAAGTTGGTGAGGCTGGCTTTGAACTCACGATCCTCCTGCCTCAGCCTCGTGAGTCTCAGGGACTATAGGCATGCACTACTATACCTGGCAACTTTTATGTACGTTTTATTCTCACAAAATATTTCTTACCAGGTAAGATTGGCCCAGAGTGAAAGAAGGGGTTGCTGTATAGAAGTCCATTAGAAATAGAAATATCTTTAGGATTAGGACCTGGGTCATATTTTATCTAGACTACTTTCTCTGACATTACTTCAATCTCACTCACTCTGCATCTCTACCAGTCATTAACCACACACCTAAATTTACCCAAATTCTGAAACCCTAACAAGAAACAATACATATCCATGCTGTTAGCGGAATAATGGATGTGTACAAAGTGACCTACTAAATAAGGGTCAAAATTGTGACAAACTTCATTTGGAAGGGTATCTGAAAAAGCAGTTTTCCCAAGGGTGAAATGTACTTTGTGACAAGATGGGACTGATGTTTAGATGTAATTCTGTGGAATCAAGTCTACTGAAGGTGCAACTTTAGCAGCAGCAGAGAAATAAACAAATTAAAAGTGATTTACATTTTTTTCTTTTCCAAAAACTGTTAGGAAGCTGGGTGCAATGGCACACACCTGTAATCCCAGCACCTCGGGAGGCTGAGACAGGAGGATCATGAGTTTGAAGCCAGTCTCAGCAATTTAGTGAGATGCTAAGCAACTCAGTGAGACGCTGTCTCTAAACAAAATACAAAAAAAGGGCTGGGGATGTGGCTCAGTAGTCGAGTGCCCCTGAGTTCAATCCCTGGTCCCCGCCTCACCCCCCCCAAAAAAAAACCTGTTAGGAAAGCCAGGGTATTACAATCACTTATTCCAATTCCAATTATCTAAAACATACATAAGTTTTGAATGCAAATTAAACCAATGAGGTTGTGATCGATATCACATGAGTTTACTATGAGAATATTTACTTACCTTTAGTATCTCATTGAATTCTGGATTGGTGCCTGTTCTGATTTTGGTCTTGCGCTTATTGTTCCGGGACTTGTCAGGAAGAAGGTATGACTTGACATAACTGCGGATAATAAAGGATGAAAGTAATCATTTGGAAACATCTATTTTGTAAGAAATGCTCAGAGACTTCAGTGAATAAAGGGCAATAGGTAAGTAAGTATAAGAGACAGAAGGAAAGAGAATGTAGTATATATATCAAGACACCTTAAAATATAACTCTGACTGGGCTGGGGATATTTGAGGCCCTGGTTCAGTCCCCAGCACTGTCAAACAAAACAAAAAGAAATAAACAGACAACTCTGGGCAGCCAGGCAGAGTGGTCCACACCTGTAATCCCAGTAGCTAAGGAGGGTGAGGCAGGAGGATCACAAGTTCAAAGCCAGCCTCAGCAACTTAGGGAGGCCCTAAGCAACTCAGAGACACCCTGTCTCTGAACAACAACAAAAATGTGTGGGGATGTGGTTCAGTGGTTAAACACTCCTGGGTTCAGTCCCTGGTACCAAAAAGACAAAGACAAACAAACAAACAAAAATAACTCTGGGCCCTTAAAAAAAGAGAAGAAGTAAATTCTAGTGGTAAAGATGGCAGATTTTGGAGTTAGACCCATTGATTTTGGATCACCCATGCTTCACTGGGTCTCAGTTTCTTCTAGTGTAAAACTGGGATGAGGGGCTGGGGCTATAGCTCAGTTGGTAGAGTGCTTCCCTTGCATGTACAAGGCCCTGGGTTCAATCCCCAGTACCATAAATAAATAAAATAAAACTGGGATGATAACAGTATGTAACTCATGGCATTATGAGGATTAAATTAGTTGATACCTGCAAGGAGAAGACATATTGGACCACTCAATAAATGTAATCTGTTTTCATTATCAGTATTCTCACAAATTTTCTAGGGTATAGGCCTCTCTATTCTTCATCCTGCCTTCTGATGTTGGGGAGTAGGGGTCAATGGTAATGAGTGATGAAAGAAAATAGTGGAAAAGGAGAAACAGAAAACAAAAACCAGAAGTCATAAGAGCAATTGTACCCAACACCTTGGCTTGAACTATTTTTTGTGGCAGGGGCGTCATAGTAGACATAGAAATTCGTGAGTTGCTGCCAGGGTTCTAAAGTATATCTGCTGGGGTTTTATATTTTATTTGTTTATTTTCTGTGCTGCTGGGTTTCAAATCCGAGGCTTCACGCATGCTTAGCAAGCAGTCTTTGCTGAGTCACAAACCCAGCTCCTGCTAGGGTTTTAGATGGCCCCCTTCCATGCTAGTCAAAATGATTATTATATTGGTCCTGGAACCCTCTGAAATGTAGTTAAGGAGGCAGATGGACCAATCTATAGTCAGAATCCAATCATCTGTCTACTTTAGGATACTTGGAACCAGTTTTATTGAGTTGTTTATTGGGCTTAGATCATGTAATACGCAAAAAAGAGTTAACATAGCAGGCCTGAGATTGCCATTCTTAGAAAAGCTTGCATGCAAGTTTGGCCCTTAGATGTCATTTGGGAACATGGATTTCAGGAGGGTTCCTACCATTCTTAGAACTGATAAATGTGGCTCATTGAGCCTAAACCGTTTGTACAAACAATATAACTTATACTGAACATGTGTTTTCCTTCTGGGAGCCTGGAAATTTGGTACATGACCAGCTGAGCCTCTTAGAAGCTTCCCTGGTAGACATTTCACAAGAATTAAGAGCATCATGTGTGATTCCCTTGGAAGCTTGAGTCTGGTTTATTCAGGACTTTCCCTCTCACGTGCCTTTTCTCTTTATTGCTTATAACTACGTGTACATTCCTGTGAGCCTTTCTAGTGAATCAATGAACCTGGCAGTTGTCATGGGGACCCCTGACTCATCTTTACATCCAGCTCCCCTCCAACATGTCATGTTTTATATTGGACCACTCAGGCTGATCCCTAGGATCCCCAGAGCCTCACTAATTGCCCTTCTGAGTTGTTAAATTGGGTAACAGCTTGGTAATTATGTCTGGAAGTTTTCCCAGAACAAAAATCAAGAGGATACTCTTGTACATCCTGGGTATGCCAACATTTCGGGCTTCTACCTCAAAGAGTGATCTCTGTGCAAAATACAAATTTGTCACTGCTGAATTATGTTGAGTAATGGTCTCTTAAAAATAAGGTAACCAGCTGGGACCCGCGGTGCACATCTGTAATCCCAGCAGCTCAGGAGGCTGAAGCAGAAGGATGGGGAGTTCAAAGCCAGCCTCAGCAAGTTAGTGAGGCACTTAGCAACTCCGTGAAACCCTGTCTCTAA